TACACATGATCAAGGATAAAATTCTCAATAAATAAATTAAATTAAGTAAGTTTTTTTTTTAAATTTTTTATACAAGTTAAAATTAATACATGCACATATATATATGTTTATGTTTGTGTGATTTTTTTTTAAAGAAATACTCTCCTATGTTTTTATTTATCAAATACCTACAGTCTTAAGAAAGTTTTTCAGAAACTCTAAACATTTTTTTTATCTAAAAAAAAAATTTATAACAGTAGAATTTATAATTATAAGCTATTAACTAATTCAAATTGGGCCAAGATGTGAAAAGGATAGAAGAGAAAAGTCAAACAAGTTCTCCTAAAATTAAACTAAACTAAGATTGACGGACAGATGTATCCCTGCTGGTGCTGGTGCTGGTGCGAGTCCGTGACGATATTAATAAGGAAAATATAAAATTTACTTTTATCTCACTATCATCACTTTTTGATTCAAAGTTTCAAGGCTCGTAATTTCACTGGTCGCTCGAAACGTGGCCATGGTCCTGACTCCTGAGGCTGTGGTCCCCACTATATGACACTTCCCCACACGTGCATCAGTGCATGCACGCTCTCAACTCTCAACTCTCAACTCTCAACTCTCAACTCTCAACTCTCAACAACATCCATGTATGGCATTGGCATATGTTATATAGATACATATGTATGCATGACTGTTGGCACTTTGGTTTGGCTAGTTTTTGAGTAATGTTAAAAAGTACTACGTTTGTGTTCATGTGTCGGTCAAACACTCAAACATGTGTGTTGTGTCCCATGGCTTCTAGTTCTATCTACCTACGTACACCTTTCAGGTGAAGCTAGTGTTGCTTTGCTTATTTCTCTTTCAATTCTTGTTTATATTGATTTTAACCAATATATTCATTCACATATATCTATGAATACGGGGAGGGGTTGGTTGGTCATTATTAGTTGAGACTGAAGAAGAGCTAGCTTAGCTATCAGAAAAATTAAGTAGCTATAGGGAACACATATGTGGCTGTGGCCTGTGCTGTGGCCACGGTCTATGATATAGGGAAAGGGAAAAGGACCAATCAATCAGTCACCTCATAAATATACATTTATATATATAACAATTGCAATTTAATTTTTCAAACCTCATTATCTTCATCCATATTATTTTCATTTCCACTACTTTACTACTTTTACTATGGTACGTATGTTTGACCTACATTTAAATATGATTTAATTTAACTAGTGATGATTAAACAAAGCTATCATTTTATCATTTTAGTGCTTGATTATGAATTTGTATTTGTTGATTAAGATGGGTTATGGAACTTTGAATTTGACAGTGTGATGGACTGGGTGGTTTAATTAATATGCTAACAAACACATCCACAGTAGTCACAGCAATGTAATAATTAGTGTTGTACAGATGTTTCGTGGTCATCAAATCAGGATTCACCTTACTGTTCCTGCTCTCTCGTTGTTCTCGACTTCTCGTGACGTGACGTCATTTATGTTCTGTTCGCACATTCAGCAATTTTATGGCTACGAATTTGCGTTTCTAATTCTTATCTGCCTTAGATTTAGGACACTTTAACGTCTGCAAAAGGACACAGACTAGCCAAATCTGTTTTCTTCTTGATTTTATTATCACAGGGTATGTTAGATTTGTAAGAAGAAAATGAAAAGAAATTAAGTGAGATGATTTTGAAATATTTAGCAAGAAAGAACGTTAGCTTTTCTTTTCTTGTTTAGTTGTAGAAAAATAAATAAAATAAAATAATATATAAATATCTCTAATACTGTATTTGGTACAACTAAAATAATAAAGAAATACATACAAGAGAAAAGAAATAACACGATAGAAATATATTTACTTGATTGACAAATATATTTTTGTAGATTTGAAATTTACATACATGAATCCCATGTATATTAAACTTTTTCTTAAAGTTGAGTATAATTAAGAGAGAGGTTTGTTACCCTTTTATCCCTCATTGATACTTTTCTCTCGTCCGAATATTGCAAGTTGTGGAACTTTCTATTCAAATGTGTATGCAAGGGTTTGATTGTTGTATTTGAATGTGTGAGTCTTGTATTCAAATGTCCTACTATTTACTCGATTGGGGCATGATGTTATTTAAATGTTTTTGTATTTAAATATGTGATATGCTTTATTCAAATACACGTGTTTTTTAGTTGAATATAACCACAATTTGATTCAAATAAAGATCCGAATATCATGTCTTGTATTTGGATATCTGATATGCTTTATTCGAATACATATATGTCTTTCATTCGAATAATAACAAATAAATAAAAACTTATGGATACTATGTAGGTAACTTTTAAGGATAAAATTGTATTTTTAAAAATATTATTTCTTTCATTTTTATTCATTAAAATTAAATAATTTTATAATATTATTTTTTTTCTATGTCTTACTTATTTCTTTCAAACCAAACAAATTCATTTTCACTCTATTTTTATATACCTATTTCTGCTTATTTATTTTGTTTCTACCGTAAGTTCGCTGTCATCGTTAGGGTCACCGCATCCGAGGTATTGTCCGTTTTGACCCTCGTTAGCACCGTCACGGTTTTGTCCTTTAAAAGGCGCCTCGACCTTTTAAGGAGGAAGAGTGTTTATAAACTACCCTTATCCTCGACTCTTATAAAACAAGAATATGAATTTTTTTTTATTACATTAATAAACTCTCTTTTCTTTGGATCTAAAACCAGATTTTTTTTTGAAAAGTTCATGCATGTAGGTAAGTAACTCCCAGTAAAAATACGTAAAGGAATATGAACTAAACTGAGAAAGTGAGAATTTAGTGTAATACTCACAGTGGATTAGTATTTGATTAATTAGAGATCATAATTCTCCATTGATCAGAGCATAGTAGAAATAAAGTTATCGGGCAAGGATTCATCAAGAGCAGTTTCTTTACAGGCCCAATCTGGAAAATGAAGGCCTAATGTGTTGTTGTACTTTGTACACCACTGTCTTAGACCTTATACCTGCGTGTTGACTTTGGTCAACTACTGTCCCCTCCTCACACTTCAATGTGTTGGACCAACATGGTCTGTCATATAGGTTGGGCCATATAAAGTCAGGACTTGGAGGAAACCAACCACTCAAAAGTGAAATTAAGGGCGTGTTCATATGTCGTAAAACATAAACCAACACAAAAGTGTGGCTAAACGACCATTGTGGTGTACTTTTAGAAATTTATTATTAAAATGAGACTATTTTGAAACATTTTACACCTTTGGAGCTGTTTTATTGGGTGTCGCTATGGGTCATAGCGCCACCCATGACACGTGGCTTTTTTTTTTTGGCTTGGTTGGGCTGGATCAGTGTCGCTATAGGCTGGGTCACCACAACTGATGGGCTAAAAAAAATTATATAACCCATAGCGACACTAAGCAAAGAAAAAAATAAAAAAAGACAAAAATAATAATAATGTAAAATAAACATAATAAACTGAACTATTTATTATATAATTATAAAAAGAAAATTAAGTTTTATAAAAATGTAATTTTAAAATAAATAATATGTATTTTTTTAAAGCAGACGCTATGGCCCATAGCGCCTCAGTAGAGCTATGGGCCATAGCGCCCCAATTTTTTTTTTGTTTTTTTTTTGTTTTTAAATTATTTTCACATTATATTACTAAATTTTTAAAAACTATATTTTTTCTTATTTCAATTATTTTTTTCGCTTTTATCCGTTATTTTTTTATAAATTTCTAAACAAATATTATATTTAAAAAATATTAGATATATTTTTAAAACTGGCGCTATGAGTCATAGCACCTCAGTGGAGCTATGGGCCATAGCTCCTCTAATATAAATAATAAAAATTAAATTATAATTATATTAAATAAAAAAATTAATGGAAAAAATGTTTAAAAATAGTAATTAAAATTTATATCATAACATAAAATAAAAGAATTAAAAAAAGAATATAGTTCATAATTTAAATAAATTAAAACGTCAAAATAGAATTAAAATTGGGGAGCTATGGCCCATAGCTCCACCTGGGAAAGCATCAAACTGCCAACAAAGGCGCTGTGGCACATAGCGCCCCAAACTTTTTTTTTTTTTTATAAATTTTTTTACATTATATAACTAATTTTTTTTAAATTTTATTTTTTCTTATTTAAATTCTTTTTTTTTTTGCTTTTATAAGAAATTTTATTTTAAAATTTTAAACAAATTTTATATTTATTAACGTTATACATATATTTTTAAAAACGGCGCTATGGGCCATAGCGCCTTAGTGGAGCCATGGGCCATAGCGCCCCATATTTTTTTTTCATTTGTTATTTTATAGTTTAATTATTATTTTTTATTTTTCTTATATTAGGTTAGTTTTATTCATTTTTTTCTTCACATATTTTTTTATATTTTTAAATTTATATTAGTATATTTTTTATATTATTTATATAAATGTAGTGTTATAGGCTATAACGACTTCAATTTTAGCCGAATTGAGTGACTATAGCCTATAGCGACTTTATTCGAGACTCCACCAGCTATAGCGACACTACAAATATGGCGTTCATGGCTTACAATCAGACCCAAAATTGCCACGTGTCATGGGTGTCGCTATGACCCATAGCGACACCCATGAAAACAGCCCCAAAAGTGTAATATGTTTCAAAACAGCCCCATTTTGGTATATAATTTCTAAAAGTGTCTTACAATGGTCGTTTAGCCCAAAAGTGTAGAATTATTTTATTAAAAGATCAATGAGAACAGATTGATAATATTTTTGTTATCATTTTTTACACTTTTGACCTTAGTTAGCATTCTATTATAATAATAAAAAAGCTATAATAAATTTTTTAACACTAATATGGAGGGAAATTTATAGAATAATAATAATAATAATAAATGAAACTAATTAAATAAAAGATGAGACAAGTATCATTTAATAAAAATCTAATGAACAAGTATATTAGAAAATATATTGACATTATAACAGTATTCTAACACTCAAAGTGGGAGAGAACTAATAAAGGAAAAGTACAAAAGAAGACACCAATTCATTGAGATCAAACTCTTCTGGTTATCTCCAAATTACAGGAATTACAAAGGGGATAAGAGAATTGAACGTGAATTTGCCATGTAAAATGTTTTCAAATTTTACAATTAAGAAAAGTTTACATTGCAGCACTCAGGGAATTGTTGATTGTGGTGGTTTGCAGAACTTGACTTCCATTGAAACAGGCTACTGATTGTTTATCAGGTGTCTCTCTCAAAACGGTAACAGGATCCATGTAGATTCCCAAGTATGATATCAATGGTTCTGCCCGTGACTTGTCAACTACTAGCTTCAGATACTCAGACTTCACTTTTGGAAACAGCAACAGTCTCTGATATCCAATTGTGGTGCCATTTGCAACTCTCATCCACACACCGTGTTGGCTCAATGCCTCAAGGTGAAACTCAATCACCCTCTGTCCCATTTGAATAGGCTCTTGTACTTGCAAAACATTGAAGGATACTAATTCTTGGAGATTTATGTACAATATCCACTTAGATTGGTTCTCCTCGGGAGCCCAATATGTGTATATACCTTCTTTAAGAACATTGTAGGGACTAAAGTGAGTCTCTAGAATTCCCCCTCTTATGCTGCTGGCATTGATAACAGCATTTATAGCCAAATTGTGAGAAAATATGGACCTCCTAAGTTCAGTGAACTCTTGAAGAACTTGGATATCCTCATCTGAAATAAGACCTGAGGTGTTTGGGGGCACATTCAATAACAGATGACAGTTTCGACCAACTGATTTATAGTAGATCTCAAGTAGACTCCTTGCAGATTTTGGAAGTTCTGAATCATGCCAAAACCAACCGGGTCTTATAGAGACATCACATGTAGCAGGTACCCAATCAGGACCAAATGGGTCTCCTTCTCTTTGGTATCTGTTAGATGATCAAAACATTGGTAAATGTCTACATTACATTACTCTATGTAATCCAGTGACTAGCACATTTTTCACAAGCATTTGTTTCTACTCATCTACATGATCCTCCAGACCTTCATGCATTGCCAAGATACATGCAACATAGAACTAATGAATGAAATTTACATTCTTCAACTTCATTTAAAATCAATGAATCAGCTGAATCAGAATAAGTTCAGTCCTCTGATATGCATGAAGAATAATAGAATTAGAAAGACACAATTCCATGACTTTCAAAATTGCTCTAGGAAAAACGCTTGGCACAGATCATACACCATGCAATTAGCATTAATTATAATCTACATGATGCAGTGTGAGTAAACTGACAATAAAAGAAACATTTAAACCAAACATAATTTAAAAGGAAGGGAAACTAGAGTAGGAGTGTTGTACGAAATAGAACTCACTGGCTATCAACATTACCAATATCAGAAACCGTCTTGTTGTAAAGAGACCAACAAGTGGACCCAGCAACACCATATTCATCACCAACCCACCTTGTGTCAGGACCCACATCAGAAAAAATGGTGGCCCCCGGTTGGAGCTGGTGAATCAGAGAAAACCAACTATCAAAGAGATATTTCATGTCCTTCTCCCCTTCTCCTTTTGCACCATCCAGAAAAATGTCTGTTATCTCTCCATACCTGGTTATAATACACTAGTAATTAAATCAAAAATCAAATGCATGTTTATTATGACTTAATGCACAAGTTATGACTTAAACAAAATACGAGTCCATCCAAAAGACTAGTTCATGACAAGCATGTTCGGGAAACATTATTTCCCCGTTTCAACCGTTTAAAACCAAATTGTTTACAAAATAAGCCATACATTTATGACAACAGCTGAAATTTATAAAAGACTATTTTTTTTTTCTTGACAAATAAGTTGTATTTATGTATTTGAAAATTTGAAGTTTATGATTATTTTTCAATAGTTTTTTATCTTAAAATCATTTTTTAAACAAATTTATCCAAACCAATAATTCATTAAGATTATAATTCATCAAGACAATAATTGATTACACAGTTTAATTTTCATACCTATCTCAAACACACTACTTATGTTGGAGAGCTTCTTAACTTAAATACTACATCAAGCTTCTCACTGTATTATTCTGGTATGAATTCTTATTTAGAAAGAGTTACACTGTACCATTCCAAAGCATTCAAAAGTGTAACCTCCCGGTAGGAAAGTTTATATACTTGTATTTGGAAAAATCCCAACAATAATTAGATCCAACCCTATATGCAGTAAATTTATGTAGTTATGATACTAAATTATTGGACTTTGTTTTAGCTAAGTCGATAGTAAATGACACAATACTCCACATATACTCGATCAAAATAATTTACTGTAATCGGCTATGAACTCGAAGGGTACATACCCATTACTCAATGTGGGATTACTATTCATATTGGTAGCAAATTGGCAAATAAGTAAATAAAGAGATTTTAACCCATCCATAAGAGTCAAAAGTTGTGAAACAATCCTCCTTTCAACTTCACCATGTGTCTTCTCCCTCTTGGGTGCAATGGAATCAATTTCATCGATAAAGATAATAGATGGTGCATTCTTTTCAGCTGCGGTGGGGTGGATGCTGCCGGAACCCCACTCGGAGTCGGCGAAGGTGTTGATGCCGAAGTGGAAGAAGAGGGCCATGTCGCTGAGTTGCCATTGGAGCTGGAACTTCGTTGGGAGGGGCAAAATCGGAAGTGGTGGGGGCTTCCGGTTTGGTGCTGAAGAAAACGCAGGAAGCAAGGAGTAACAGAGAGCCAGTAAGAGAAAGTTAATTGGTAGTTTACAAGTTGACATTTTGGTAATGGGGTTGTGGGAACTCTTGTTCACCTTCTTCATGTTGCTTCACTCAGCTCAAGTGTTTGTGAGTTGTGACAAACAACACTTGACTGTTTCAGTGTTTCTGATTGGTTGTGTTTTGTTTCTGTGGTTGGACTATGAAAAATAAGTTGTTGAATGACTGGATCATCTAACTCATTTTTCAAATTGGGCCTGTAAAGAAACTGCTCTTCATGAATCCTTGCCCCAAAACTTTACTTTTATTATTTTCTAAACTTCTAATCAGCGGAGAAATGGAGACTTATGATTAATCAAATACTAATCCAGCGTGAGTGATGATGGAAAAGGAACGAGAGTAATAGAAAATCATAGTCCTAATTATAAGTATTATAAAATAAATTATTAAAATTAAAAAAATAAGTAATTCATATGATTACTTTTAATTAATTATATTATAAATTTAAATTTTATTAAAGAATCTTTTATATTTAATATTAATTAAAAAAGATATATAGAAAATAGAGTTAACAAAAATGAAATATAGAAAAAAAATTCAATCTTGAGTAATTTTGAAAACTAATAATTATACTTACGATTAAAATTAATGAAAATTTTAATTTATTACTTATAATTATGATTGGAGATAATATAACTGTAAATTGTTTATTGTAAAAGAAAATGATTATATTGTAATTTTTAAAAAATATTTTATTGGTTCATAATAAAGAATATAAAATTATAATAGACAATAAAATTATAAGACATAAAGTTATATGATAAAATGTTTTTTATTGGTTTGAAAAATGTATGGTACTCTTAAAATTTTTTAGTCTACGATAGTTACATTGAAATTAGAACATTTAACCATATATATATATACACGAAAGTAATTATAAAAAAAAATATACTAGTGATATTTTTTTCAATACTCTTTTTTTTTTGTGGTTAAAAATCACAATCTTCTATGAATTTTATAACTAAATAAAAAGAGAAACTCGCACAATTGGTGTTTTACAATAAATTTCACCTATAAAAAAAATTAGGAAAAAGAGCATGTAGCAAGTGTAATTAAAATCCCTCACATAAACAAATCATAATCTTATTTTAGTGTAGTGTATTTTTGTTAAGAAAAATTACGATGGGAAATAAGAAGAGCTAAAAAGAAAAAAAAAAAGGCCAATGAGCCAAATAAAAATTGTATGGACAACACTTTGAGTCCAATTTTGTTTATTGATCTTTTTAATAACTTAAATTTCACAATCGATTCATATAATATAAGATAAATCATATATATACCTTCTTTATTATTTTTTTAATTATATTTTTTAAAATATATTTAATTTTTAAATTTTATACTTCTAACTTTTAATTTAATACTTTCTTTTTTTTTACACACTTCCTTCCTTTTTCTTTTAGTTTTTACAGATATCTTTATCTTTCTTCTATTTTTCACCTATTTGAATATATAGCTTTAATTGTTTTTGTTTTCGCATTATTCTATTATTTCTTATTTCTTCTATTCATATAATATAAGATCAATTTTGTTTATTGATCTTTTTAATAACTTAATTTTCACAATAATATGAGATAAATCATATATATACCTCCTTTATTTTTTTTTTTAATTATATTTTTTAAAATATCTTTAATTTTTTTATTCTTTAATTTTTAAATTTTATACTTTTAACTTTTAATTTAATACTTTCCTTTTTTTCACACACTTCCTTCCTTTTTCTTTTAGTTTTCACATATATCTTTGTCTTTCTTCTATTTTTCACCTATTTGAATATATAGTTTTAATTGTTTTTGTTTTCACATTATTCTATTATTTCTTATTTCTTTCGATTTTTACATGCACCCAAATCTTATAATTAGTACACAATTGTGTCGTAAGCATGTACAACTTCCTCGACAGTTTCAAAGATGTCGAATTAGATGTACATTTTTCTTCTAACATTTCTTTTTCTTTTATATTTCTAAAAACTTTAACATTAAATTTAATGTTATGAAAAATACTTTTTAAAATACTAATTTTACTATTTCGAGAAATACTTTTCAAAACAGTAAAAATCATTTGGCATACTAAATATAATGTTTTTTTTTAGATGTGTAAACCAATAAAGTGTTTAAAGAATAAATACATATTTAAATCAACACATTGAATGTTGTCGAAGAAATCACATACAATGTAACATTGTGGAAAGTTAGTTCTACATTAAAAGTGCGTGTGAAAAAAAAAGGAGAATGAAAGAGTAATAATGTAAAGATTGAAATGAGAAAATGAAAAAGAATAATATAAAAATTAAAAAAAAAATCTATTTACTAAAGTAATAAAAGAGTAGAAAAAAATAAAAAATACATGTAAAAATAAAAAAAAATGAAGTATATGAAAAAGAAAAAATAAAATACCAAATTAAATTAAATGTTATAAATGTAAAATAATTTTGTTAAAAAAATTAGATATTTTATAATTTTTTTTAAAAAAAAGAGGTGTTCATATTAAAAAAGAAAAAAAGAAAAAGTAGTATATATGACGATGAAATGAAGCATACCTTTTTACTAACGAAAAAGCACTGCGTTGTACGAAGTGTGAGTGTTTTACAGTGGAGGCGGGGTCAACCCGACATGAAGGTGAACAAGGTTCGTAGATTATGGTGCAAATCCCCGAATCCTGGTACCAAAACAATCTCAACTTGTACCCTACCCTATTTCCCCATTCAAATTCTCCTTCTCTTTCTCTCTCTCTGTCACTCCTTCGTCCCTGCATGTTGCAACCGGAAGCCCCCACCTCTTCCGATCTTCTGGTTATCTCCAAATTA